CATGGCATGGGTGCAGGGGTGTGGGGGCAGGGCGCGGAGGGCGGGGCGTGCGGCAGGGGTGCAGATGTGCAGCAGATGCTGCACAGGTGGAGGGGCGAGGCTACAGGGTAGTGGCTGCAGGAGCATGGCAGGCGGGGCGCTGCAGGGGAGGCTCTGGGCCCGAGAGGCATGGTCACCCAATAGCCACACACTCGCCAGGCGCCCCGCGCACATATCCTTGGTTTTTGGGTCTGGCGCACCACTTGTAGCGCTTGCGTGTGGGTGCTCGGCCATAAGGGGACCTCAAGGGGCCTCCATTTGGTGGGGGAGACAGAGCCATGAGTGGTGTGGTGCAGTCCCATGGGGGCCGGAGGTTGAGGAGGGCCTCAGGGCCCCAGATGCCACACCCTCGTGGAGCCCCTCTCCACTCCGGAGGGTGGAGGGAGGCCTGGCCAGAGCTCATGCCCAGCTGGCAGGGCGCACAGCGGCAGAGGACCTGCCGGGGAATGAGTGAAGCGTGGTCCTAGCCAGGTAGCCTGCCCTGTCCAAGGCCCAGGGCCTGAGCCACCTTGAGCTGTCCCTCCTGAGTCTCACCTTCGGGGCCTGAGCCCGGAGACTCGGGGATGTGGTGTCCAAGGGCTCCCTGCTAGAGAACAGGGCAGCCCCTCAGACGGCTGGATGCATTCTCCTCCCTGGGGCAGGGCTGCCACTCTGTACTGGGACCAAGCGGCAGGGGGTGGGCAGGGGTCTGGCCTAGCCAGATGACCAGGGGCTGGCTCAGAGCAGTGGTGGGCAGACATGCAGTGTGCCTGTGTGGTGTGTGTGTACACATGTACGTGTATATGTGTGTTTGTGTGTCCATGTGTTTCCATGTGCCTATCTATGTGTGTGTTCACGTGTGAGGGCATGTGTACATGTATGTGTGTGCCTGTGTTTCTATGTGTCCCTGTGTGTGTGTAAGTGGACATTCTCCTGTAGGACCCATGTACACGTGTGTGTGTGTGTGTGTGCTGTAGGGGTGAGAGCATGTGTGTGTCCCCAACATCAACTCCCCCCCAGCTGGCATTGCTCCTGAGGGGGATGGGAGCACTCATTCTAGGTCCCTGGAGGGTAGCAGAAGTGGCCCTAAGTGCAGCCTCCCTGCCTCTCCAAGGACATGCAGGCCTAGACTCTGTCCTACTTTTTTTTCTTCTTCTTCTTTTTTATTTATTGTGATTTGGGTGAAGATTTACAGAGCAAATTCACTTTCCATACAGCAGTTCACATATACTTTGTCTCATGTCATTGACCACAATGCAACAGCTCCCCTCCCACTTCCTCCCCATAGTTACCTCTTCCCAGTGGCCATCCCTCCATACTCTCCTGCACCCTGAGCTGTCTCCCTGTGCATAAGCAGCCCTTCCTTCTCCCATGATTGTTCTCTCCAGGGCGTGTGTCTACTTGACCTGTCCTACTTCAGAACACACCAGTGTGGGGGCCTGGAAGGCCCCAGCCTTCAATCTTCCCCAGTCTCCTCTCCATCACTGGGTCCTGACCACCACTTCACAGAGGCCAGGAGTCCCTGGGTCAGGATGGGTCCTAGCTGGGGGTACGGGGACACCGTGGGGCTTAACTGGGGCTCCTCATGCCTCCAGACCTTCCTGGGACACTCCCCTGGCCCCTCCCCCTGAGTCCCTGTCTGGCTTCTCAGGTCCCTCATGACACCTTGAACCTGATGTGCTCCCACGGAACAGAGTCCCCGCCCCCATGCCAGGCCAGACCCTCTCTCTGTTCCCTGCCCTAGTGGGGCTGGCTCAGGTCCCAGCCAGGCACTATCGCGGACTTCCCTGTCCCTCACCCCATCCTCAGCTCCAGGCCTCACCTGCCCCTCACACCTGCGTGGCCCCCACTGCACCTAAGCTACGGTCGCCTCCCCTTAAAACTGCCTGTCTCCGGGCGGGTGCCCAGCTTCCCCCTTGGGCCAGCCCCAGCCCCCAGTGAAGGGGGCCCTTCGCCCCCACCCTAGACCTGCAATAGTGGCCTCCCCAAGTGTCTGCAGCCAGCTCTGCCTGGGAGAGGGAGTAGCAGAGGGGCACTGTCCCCAAGGGCAGTGGGGATCTGCCACCCCCTGGGGTCTAGAGCAGGCCTCAGGGAGGCACTGAGGGCCAAGATGGGTCAGGCCAACTTCCAGCCCCCTTGCGGGAGGGAGGGGAGCTGGGGGAGGCGGAGCAGGGTCTCAGACTGGGAACCCCAGAGGCCCTGAGATCCCTCCTTACTGAGTTTGGGCAGCCCCAGGAGTCCCCCACCCCACTTGTGGTCTGCTCACCGCATGAGGCTGGGGGCCAGCGCCCCCTTGGGGCAGACAGGTGGAGGGGGAGGCCTCCTGGGCCCCTCTCATGGAGGACAAGTGGGGAAGGGTGAAGGCTGAGTGGAGTCTTTGGGCCCCTTCATTGCCTCCACCCTTACAATTGCCTCCACATTCTGGTTGGGGAAACTGAGGCCCAGCCAGCTTGCCCAGTAGGTCCGAGCAGCACCAAGACTGGGCCACAGGCTTCCTGCCACCCCCGTCATGGGCCTGACCCCCAGTCCAAGGTGCACCTGGATCATCTCCGCAAGAAATGAGGCACCGGCCAGAGGGGAGGTTGGCAGCAGAGGAGGGGGCAGAGGGCGGGCAACCTCACCAATGTTCCCAAAAAGGAGCAGAACCACTTGGGGAGCACTTAGCGAATCCCCAGGCCCTGCCCCTGAGCCCCACCCAGCCCACTAATGTTGCCCCAGACCTCTCCATTCCCTGAGCCCGGTCCCCCAAGGCCAGTACCAAGCCCTGGCCTGGTCCCGGACACCCGCCAGGCCCCGGCCCGGCC